CATGCCGCCCATCCGGCTTCCCCCGAGTCTTCCTCTCTGCCCAAGCACCCCTGTGGCTTTGCAAAGCCTCGGGGAAGCTGGCAGCGGAGCAGCCCAGGCACGCCTGGGCTGCCTCGCTGCCCGAGCCCCTCCACGGCTTTGCTCCGCGTCTTCCTGGTCTGCAGACCAGGGAGACGCGGAAAAAGGCCCGGAGTACACGGGCAGCAGGACCGCGAGGTCCCGCAGTCCGTGTCCTCCAGGGCGAGCCCCGTTCGTAACTGCGGATCCGACATAAGTCGGATCCGCGTAAGTCGGGGACTGCCTGTTTAATCAAATTAATTCCACTCCCAATTCCTCCATAATTTATTATTTTCACCATAAATCCTATAATATAAAAGGTATGTAATTAATCTAATCTCTTCCAGTGTGTTCCATCATATCAATCTAATCCTTTATACAGATTATCTGACCCATAATCTGGTATACATTTTAACCCAGTCTAAACCTTTAAACCAAGCTCATTTTATAAACTAACTAGACAACTTTCTTGGTGTTGACTGGCTCCTTCAGGGCAGGGGGCTAGTGGTGGTGTTGGGAGGAGTAAGAGTAGGGCCTTGGGGACGGGGTGAGGGCAGGGCAGAAGCTGGAGACATGGGGGAGTGCGAGAGAGTTGGGGGTGAGGAGCAGCTCAGGGCAGGGGGTCCCATCTTCTTGCTGGAGTTTTCTCTACCTAGGGTTGCCAGATGGTTTCAACAAAAATACCAGACACACTTGACGTTACATCACAATCTACATTACATCTTATTTAGAAAATACCAGACATTTATATTTTCTCAATTTTTTCCCCCGAACAGAAAGCTCAAATACTGTCCGGTTCAAAACCAGACACCTGGCAACCCTATCTCTACCCTCCCCCCCCAGCTAGCAGAATCTCTTCTCCTCCCCACAACCTCTCCAGCCAGCAGAGGCCTTTCCTCCTCCCTGAACTTCCCTGACTGGCCTTCTCTTTCCATCCACCTTCCCCCCCACCCGAGTGAGCAGGGGCCTTTTCTCTCTGGTGCTGTGGCCAAAGGTCAGGAGAAAGGGTTTGGGGTGGGGGGGGGGGACTTACGTGTGTGCTGTCAGGCAAGATGGTTGAGCCCCTGCCCTGCTGGCCACTCTCTTGAGGTGCAGTTGCCCCCAGTGGTCTCTCTCTACAGTTTTCTGTAACTGGAAAAACTTAAAAAACAACGAATAATCATAGAACCATAGAGCTGGATGAGACCTCAGAAGGTCAAGTCCAGCCCCCTGCTCTAGGCAAGACCAATCCCAACTAAATCGACCAGCACCTTAAAGACTAACAAAACATGGAGATGTTAGTCTTTAAGGTGCTGCAAAACTATTCATTGTTTTTAAGTCTCTCTACAGCAAGGCTACTCAACACGTGGCTCATGGGCCACATGAGGCCCATGGCCCGTTTGTTTGCGGCCCATGGGAGGTTTGGGTTTACATGGGGCTCAACACACAGCCTAAAGGTTGGAGCCAAAACAAAAAAGTAGTCAATATAATGGTCTTCTGTTGATAAGCGTTTTAGTAGTGAAATTCCTGGAATGTCATTACTCATTAAAAATGCTGTCATATGGGTGGAAATTGGTAAATATTGCATTTTATTAATATCAGCAGAACTGACTTAAATCAGGCCTGTGTGTTGTGTAGTCTTGCCCATCAGTGTGAAAGAATCTATTTGCATATATTTGCATATATATTAGCATGTATATGCGACCACACTTGAGTTGCGGCTCTGGGCATGGGCTGTGAGTATCATTGTGGCCCCTCTGGGACTTCCAAAGTTGAGTAGCCCTTCTCTACAGTGTAGCTCTCCCCTTCACTTCTTGTCCCCAGTGGCCACTCTCAGTATCGCATCCCTCCTTTCCAAGCAATGGAAAACAGTCCCATTCCTGGCATTTCCAGTTTTCTCGGCACAACCAAAGCCTGACCTTGCTTTACGTTAGGATAAGAGGAAGCTGCCTACCAAATGTGGTGGTCCTAGCTCATACCATTTAGGAAAAGTTCTTGAACGACTCACAGAAGGACAGCCAGCCAGACAGCTGCACATTTCTAAAATCTCTCTCCATATATAAAAAATGTATTCCTGTGGGACGACAGAGAGATGTCATCACATCACTCTTCATCCACAGGCCAGCCCGTACTCACTTCTGGTCAAAACATTCAGAAAATACCGGACACCTAAAACGTCCAGCATTTTTTGGGGTTTTTTCCCTTCAAGGAGGCAAAAATACCGGACACCTGGCAACCCTACGACACACTCAGCCCCTCGCCCCCCAGACCTCTTGCTTACTTGGTTCCGCAGTGTAGCTCCCTTCTGGTCTTGACCAAGAAAACAAGATGGCCACTGGGAAAAAGCCTAAAGACCTGAGCAAGGGGAAGTGCTCACCCCTCCTCTTCCTATCCCTATTCTGACTCTGCACACACTTAAGGGGGCCATGCTGTTTGAATGCTGTTTTATTTAATTTATTTATTTATTTGCTTAATAACTCTTGGGGGGGGTCTTTTTTTTTTTTTGCTCAACAACTTTGGTCTCCCCCCTTTTTTCCTCCCTCAACAGAATTTTTCTCCCGGTGTTTTTTTTGGGGGGAGGGGTGGTATTTGGTATTTTTAGTTAAACCATCTGGCGACCCTCAGGGTGGGGGAAGAGCCAGGGCTGGGGTGGCCTTGGCCCTAGACCCTCTCCAGCAAAGAGGGGGCCTCCTGGCAGCCAGAGGAAGAGAGTTGGGCTTGTTGTGGCCTCGGTCTTGGCCCAACGCCCCAGTGGCTGGAGGGAGAGCACTGGGCCTGGTGTGGCATCAGTGTAACCTCCCAGCGATCAGAGGGAGAGAGCTGGGCTTGGCATGGCTTTAGCCCAGCCCCTCCAGGAGCCTGACGGAGAGAGCCAGGCCTGCTGCAGATTCTGCATGGCCCAACCCACCAGCAGCTGGGGGGAGAGCGCCAGGGCAGGCTAGGGTTGCCCCGCCTCGGACTGGCTCTCCCTGGCCTAGCACCAGAGAGCGGGGGGTTGGCGAGCATAGCAAGCAGGGGGCACAGCCCCCTAGTATAGATAGATTTTTATTTTCTCTGGTTCAGTCCAAAAATAAGGTGATTGGAATTCACAACCCTTGGAGTTTATTGAGTTCAGTCAACCCCAGTGTATCTCATCCAGTCATTCCATGTATCTATTTTAATATTCATCTTAAAAGTGGATTACAGATGGAATATTATATTAAATCAGACTAGAGTAACCGTTGTTTAGATTAAGGGGAACAGTAGGCTAGACAGGATTAGGAATTTTTGATATTTCCATGTATATAATCTAATATTCCACATAATTCAATGTAATCTGGTATAATCTTCACATATACAATCCTGATCTCAGTCCCAATCAAGATAAAATCCTGATTCAATTTTGATCTAGATTCAATCCTATTTCTAATCCAATTCTGATCAAGATCCACTCACAATCTACTTTGAATCTTGACACAGTTTTGATTATGATCCTGATTAGGGTTGCCAGGAGTCCAGTATTTGTGCCTTCTGTCTAGTAAAGAAATTGAGAAAATATAAAATATCCGGTATTTTCTGCTTTTCCTGGCTCAGTGCCTGACGGACATGCAGTGGTGGTGGGGGAAATGGCAGGGGAGTGGCCCGACAATTAAGGGAGCCACGACTGCATTTTGGCGGCCCAGCACTTTTTTGTGCGGGGGGAGGGGGGGGTGTCAGTCCAGTATTTTTGGTGAAAGCATCTGGCAACTCTAATCCTGATCCAATCCTGATTCCAATCCAATCCTGCTTCACTCTAAATCCAACATTTCTCTCAAACCATATCTAATCCTAAGCAAATCCCAATATCAAACCAAATCCGGATCTAGTCTTGATTCAATCCAGATCCCAATCCAAATACTGATCCTGTTCCCAATCTCTCTCCTGATGTGGTCCTGATCCATATTTCAGTCCAAATCCCAATCAAGATCCATTCCCAATCTCAGGGCGTGTCTACACTACAGTTTTGTCAGAAAAACAGCCATTTTTCCAACAAAACTTGAGGAACGTCCACACTGCAATTGCGTTTTTCCGCAAGAAAATCGAAAAACAGAGGGGTTTTTCTGGCATTGGTAATCCTCATTCTATGAGGAAGAAGCCTTTTTGTGAAAGAGCGTGTGTGGACAGGGAAGAGGAAAGAGGAAAAAGCTCAGGTAACCTGGTGGCCATTCCATCCATAGCAATCACTCTGGATGCCCTTCACTCTGGATGCTCTCTTTTGCATTCTGGACGTGCGCTTTCAGAAGAAGTTTTTTTGGAAGATCTCTCCCAGTTCTGCAGGCTAGGATTTCATTGCTCCTCCCCCATTCTGCTCTTGTTTCAGGGACTGGAGCCCGGGGCAGCCGGATGACTATACTGAGCATGGACTGGGGGGCGGGGAAGACTGTGTCATGTACCATTATGACGGACGGTGGAATGACGACCACTGCTCCCGCCTGTACCACTGGGCATGTGAGCGGCCGTTGCATGGCTAATCCTGGAAGAGAAGAGGCAGAGCCTGGCCCACAAAGCCCCGCCCCAAATGGGAGGCATGGCTGACTGAGACTAGCTCCCATGTCATCTCAGTTCCTTCTCAATCTAACCCATTTTAGTCATTAATCTAATCCACAACCAATGTGGCCTCAAGGGGGGAGCACTGAGCCTCCTTAGGGGCTGGATCCAGGCAAGATGGGGCCACATCCAGCACCCAGGCTTCAGGTTCTCTACTCCTGATCTAATCCATCCCTCAATAAATCCTGTATAATCCGGACATCTAAGCTACACGTCACCAAGCCTCGGCTAGCCCAGTGCAGTCCAAGTCATGCAAGCCTCACCCAACGCCACCTCCACTCATTCATCCTGACCTCACCCATGGCATGCTAATTCAGTCATGGCCTGTCATGTCAAATTATGATGTCACGCCATATCACGTCCCCTCACGGGGTGGGGCAGCTGGTTACCCAGGGACCCCTCGATGAGATGCAGCCTCCTCTAGGGTAGGGCAGCACATGATCCTGTGTAACCAAGTAGCCCCAGTGTCTTTAGGTAGCTAGCTGGGAACAAGAGATTTCATTTAAAATGTCTTCTGATCAGACCCTACCCTTCAAAAAATCTTAATCCAAAGTAATCCTAACTGATCTAATCTGTTCTAATCTCACTGCTTCTAACCCAATCTAGCTCTCCCCCCCCCCCCCGGGCTCTCTCCTAGGTCTCCAGGGTCTCTGCCCAAAGGGATCCCTCCCCCAAGATCCCCTCCTTGCCTACTCCCAACTCACCTTGCCCATGCCCACGGTTGTGCTGTCATTGCAGGGACTGGAGGGCAGGCCAGCCTGATGACCACCGTGGCCATGGACTCGGGGGCGGGGAGGATTGCGCGCACCTGCATGACGACGGGTTGTGGAACGATGAACACTGCACCCGGCGCTACCGCTGGGTGTGCGAGAAGGAGCTAAAGGGTTAAGGCTGGCTGGGGGCGGAGCCATTTGGGGAGGAAAGGGCGGGGTTTGTTTTAGTACCACCCAATCAAGTGTGTGGAGCTAGTCAATAAACAAATTCATCAATGATGCAGTAGCATCAGATGCAGCCATCTCTGGTGGGGGAGGAGAGGGGAGGGGAGGGCAGCCGGTTGCACAGAGGTCCCTTGCCCGGTGCTCAGATGGGGCCACCTCTGGGGTGGGGCAGTTGTTTCCCCAGTCTGGCTGTTACACCTTCAAGTAACATGGGTTCCTGAGGCCCCCCACCCCTCCTCTCAGCTTCCTTTGGCAGCTTTCTGATCCTGGCTGCTGGCCTTGTCTGGAATCTGAGTTGCTGATTAAATGGCACAGTAGAATCACAGAGCTGCAAGAGACCTCAGGAGGTCATCAAGTCCAGCCCCCTGCCCAAGGCAGGACCAATCCCAACTAAATCAACCCTGCCAGGGCTTTGTCAAGATGGCAGTTAAAAACCTCTAGGGATGGAGATTCCACCACCTCCCTAGGTAACCCATTCCAGTGCTTCACCACCCTCCTAGTGAAATAGTTTTTCCTAATGTCCAACCTAGACCTCTCCCACCGTAATTTGAGACCATCTTCTTGTTCTGCCATCCCTCACTACTGAGAACAGCTTCTCTCCAGCCTCTTTGGAACCTCCCTTAAGGAGGTTAAAGGCCACTATCAAATCCCCCCTCGCTCTTCTCTTCTGCAGACTAAACAAACCCAAATCCCTCAGTCTCTCCTCATAGGTCTTGCGCTCCAGCCCCCTAACCATTTTGGTCGCCCTCCGCTGGACCCTCTCCAATGCATCCACATCCTTTCTATAGTGGAAGGGCCTGGGAGCCAAGACTCCTGGATTCTCAAGGCTGGTTCTGTTGCTGCCCTGTTTCCCTGCGTGGGGGTTAGTTTACTGCAGAGCCGGTTTGCAGACTAATACTGGGTGGCGCCCCAGCTAATTAACAGCGGGGCTAACAATGCTGATGACAGCGGCACTGGGTGTAGTGGCTACACCCCAAAGTGGGTGTGCGCGCTTGGCGAGGTGGAGGAGTCAACTTCTGGCTGTGGAAGTTTTGTGTTTTGGCGCAATTAAAACCACTCTAGCTATAGAAAATCCACGTGAACCCACATGTCCTGGGGAGAACCCAGGCGTCCGGGAGGAAGTGAACCCCAAGGTCGGGGGGGGGGGGGGGGAAGAACCCAGGCGCCCGGGAGGGAGTGAACCCCACAGTCTGGGAGGGAGATCCCAGGCGTCCAGGAGACCGACAGACACAGCAGTCGCCCCCACACCTGTCACGCGGGTGAGGCGCTGCGGGGGGAGCAAGGACCCTCCCCACAGCCCGAACCCTAAGCTGAGATCCCGCCGCGGAAGGGAGGTGTGGACGCCGCGGGGAAGGCCACGTTCGGACAGGCTGGCCGAAGCGCAGGTCGCCCCGCAAAACTGGGAGGCGCAATCCGAGCCGGGCCGGGAAGGGAGGACGCGGGCAAAGGAGCAGATCCGGGCGATGAGCGCCCGGCAGAACAAGAGGCACCGGCGGGAGGCGGATAAAGGGGCGGCAGACTGGGACCGATCTCGCGAAGCGGGCGGGGCGCAGGAGCCGGCCCCGCCTCCACCAGCTGCTCCCTCCCTATAAAGGGGCCGGGCCCGACCCAGCCCGCCGGTAGCTTCACTTCCTGCGGGCGCTGCCTTTCTGGGACAGGTGGTAGCGGCTTGGGGGGAGGCGCTGCGGGATACCCCTAGGAGTCCGAGGTGCTGCGGCGGGTAGTGGGAGAGACCCCCGGTGTCCGGGCAGCGGAGAGCTACCGTGTCCGGGAGAGAAACCAGGCGTCTGGGGGACAGGGGAGGGACCCTAAGCAGCCGGAACAGAGGGAGGGAAATAAATCCTAGGAACGCACCTGAGACCCCAGGTATCTGGGCGGGCGAGAGGAACCCCTCCATCTACAGTGGGGGAGGAGTCCCACCCTGTGCTCTCTTTAAACCCCCTCTGGGTGCCTGGATGGGGGAGGAAGAGGAGAACAAGAGGAAGATGCCAACTGGTACAGGAGACCACCCATTGCCTGCCCGTGCTGTTGTGGGGCTACCTGTAGGCCCCATCACCTTGAACGTGGGGGGTAAGTTCTACACCACCACGATGGAGACTCTGACCCGCTTCCCTGACTCCATGTTGGGTGCCATGTTCCGGGGTCCCCGGCCAGCCAGCACTGACCAGCGGGGCCACTACTTCATCGACCGGGATGGCAAAGCTTTCCGGCACATTCTCAACTTCCTGCGCCTGGGCCGGCTGGACCTGCCTGAGGGCTACTCGGAACTAGCTCTCCTGCGGGCTGAAGCAGATTTCTACCAGATCCGACCCCTGCTGGCTGAGCTGAGCCAGCTGGCAGCTGAGTGCCAGCGCCGCCAGACCCGCGCCGTGCTTCACACCGACATTGACTGCCAGGAGCGGTTGCTGCATTTCACTGTGCGGCATGGGCCACAGAACTACGGCCTCAGTACCTCTCCGCTCCGCATCTTCACTGCCAATGTCTTCTGCACGGATGGGCACTTCTTGGAGCTATTGAGAGACAGGCTGGGCCAAGCCAGTGACGGTGCCAGCACCGAATCTGATCACCAGCTGGGCCCATTGGGTGCTGCCAGGGATGGGGAGTCCATTGACACTGAAGAGGAGGGATCTGGTCACGAGCTGTTCCAATATAGCCTTGCAAAGGAGAAGGGGGAAGCCCGGAGTCAGCACCACCTGCATCTGGAATGGGCTCCACGGCCTCCAGACCTGCCCGAGGTGGAGTATGCCAAGCAGAAAGTGAGGTCCCTCTGGACAGCAGCACCAGATGGGCGGGAGGTCAGCACGGCAGCAGATTTTTTGGAGGAGGTGCTAAAGGCTGCCCTGGATCAAGGCTTTCGGGTGGATTCAGTCTTCCCCGACCCAGCAGACATCCTCAACTCACGCTCGCTGCGCTTTGTCCGCCACTAATCATGGAGGGGGCAAGGGAAGAAAGAACCGGCCAGGGAGCGTGGAGGGTTGGGCTTGCTCTTGCGCGGTGGTGGGCACAGGTAAGACACTGGGAAGAGATGGTGGTGTTAACAAGGGGATAGAGTGGAATGGTGGGTGGGTGGATGTCATTGATCCCACTGGTCTGTCATGGGACATGCTGGGGCGGGAGGGGAGATTATGGGATGGGAAAGGCTACTATGGGCAGAACCTGAAACGATTGGTGGCAGGAAGGGGATTGTAAGGATTTGGAAGAAACCATGTGAAATGGGCTAGAGAATGAGGAGGTAGGCTGGTGGTGGTGGCTGTCTCTGGACTGCCACAGGGTGCTAAGTGGCAAGTGGGGGTGAAAATGGCAATGCTGGGGGAGGAGGGTGAATTGGTGACTGGAAGGGAAGGAAGGTGTGGATGATTAGTGATAGGTGGTGGGGATGTGGAAGTATGGGAGTAGGTGGGAGCTGGGGTGGACTTCTTAGTGGATGTTGGTGTATGAAATAGGATCGTGGTTGGTGGCAGAAGGGGAGAGCAAGGTTTGTGAGGTGGGGAACACCGAAGGAAAGAGGCAGATTAGCTAAGAGGTTGTTGAGAATAGGAAATAACTGCTGGTGATAGGATGGAGGCAGAGAGGGTGGCTTCTGAGATGGGGCAAGCAGGGAGGCAGGAGTAGTGGCAGGGAAAGGCTGGAGTGGGCGGGAGGGGGTGGGGGGTGGTGGCAGAAGGGGAGAGCAAGGTTTGTGAGGTGGGGAACACCGAAGGAAAGAGGCAGATTAGCTAAGAGGTTGTTGAGAATAGGAAATAACTGCTGGTGATAGGATGGAGGCAGAGAGGGTGGCTTCTGAGATGGGGCAAGCAGGGAGGCAGGAGTAGTGGCAGGGAAAGGCTGGAGTGGGCGGGAGGGGGTGGGGGGGAGGAATACGGGCAGAACTATGTTTGTGGGATACTTCCAAAGAAATAGTATGGGCATTGTGGAACGAGCATCTCCAACTCCCTGAATGG